ATTATAAAGCAACACTAGGTAGTTTTTATATCTTAAAACAACAGCTTCAAAATCATTTTGAGGGGACACAAACTTGAAATAGGGAGAATGGCTTGTATGTCATTGCCACAGCAATACCTGAGCTTGGAACTGCACTATATAACTCTGATGTACCGTGCTGGAACATTACAACCTGCTTTAAAGCATATGTCACACACCAACAACCAGAGCCGGAGCTGGCAGTTAGCTATAAGAGGCAACTAGCTCGCCATTCTTGGTGTAGAATTTTTTGGCAGAGCCACCGAAGAAACAGAAGAGGATAAGAAGAGAAGGGAGTAAGAAACCTCACAAGATTCAATATCTGAGCATATTTTACCAAAGAATGCAGGACAGATGTGGACCTGACATTGTTATTGGATAAGTGAGTCATAACTTGTGCTTGTTTGCAATGTCTTGGGGTGTTCTGCTTTCTTCACGTTGTGTAAGTGAAGTCGTTGACTCGCTAGTTTATCATCAGAAGTTAAGTAAAACTATTTCGATAAAGGTTTATCTGTCGAGTTAGCTAAACAAGCCTGTCAAATTTGTGTAAATATCCCAGTCAGTCAAATGGTTCGTCAGCTTCTGAGGTTGTCTCTCTGTCAGCTTGCCAACAAATGCACGAGTATACAGCTGTGTGCAAGGGGATGCTCAGAATGTCCGTGAATTACGCATTCCATGTGTAGTGGGAGCGAACTCTGCATTGTGTCATTTTAAGACCACACATGATATTTTATAAATGTCAGATTTAAAGAGAACACACATATACACTTTTTAAAAGCCTCCATATCTGTAAAGACACATACAAGTTAACCCGAGTAACTTGTGGTCAGTAACGATGTTCTTTGATGGCTTTATAAATTTCTATGCATCTTTCAGGGGGCAACAAATGCTGGATTACAACTTGAGATAACAACAAATAACAACATCTTGTACAAGCTTCTGTAAGTAACCCGCTGTAGTGTTGTGAGGAAGAACAGCTGTGTTCTAACACATTAACTGCCAGAGAGATATAGAGAAGCGAGGAGGAAACAGACAGACTGGCCACACAGGCTTTTCACTGCCTGCCTCACATTCACAACTAATTACTCACTTTCTTTCAACATCATTACTTCCATCAGTAGTTCTTTTCTTATGTGCACAGAGGAAAGAAGGATGAGGTGAGGAGGAGAGGGAGAGCAGGATAAAGGTACATGAAGAAGAAGCAGAGAGAGAGACGGTGACGTCACCTTGTACTGACACTGCAGTGAGAGGGACAAAGAAAGAGAGAGAGACGGAGAGATGCAGAGAGAGAGAGCGTGACGGGACATCAATACAGAGACTAAAGAGATCTATTAGCTGATAGGAGACGCGCGCAACTTCACACTCCTTAAGCAACTAAGTGAGTAAGTGAGTGAGTGAGTGAGTGAGTGAGTGAGTGAGCGAGAGAGTGAGCAAGTGAGCGAGTGAGCGATGGCCATCAGGGACATTGTACAGCCTTACGTCAAAAACAAACTCAGTCACATATGACACTGAAAACTTTGCACACACATTCATGGGAAAACATTTAAAATACTCTCACACAGGTCACTGATCATTGTACTCACATTCATGACTGATAAAATAACAAAGCAACATTTTTCTGCATCGTTGCAAAACAGCACTATGAGGGGCAGATTGGGGGAGCTATTGAACAGAGGATGGTAACTGATGGCACCTCAATCATGTCTATTTTGAAACTGCTCTGAGTCTTTCTCCTCTGTGTGCGTGTGCTTGTGTGTGGGAATACATGTGGATTGTGTGAATACATATCTGAGTTTGAGAGAGGATTACAAAAAAAGCAACAAAAGCCTACAAATTTCTGTGTGAGCTTGTGTGTGTGTGTTACTCATATTGTGTTTCTTGTCCACACAAGGTGAACTATTGCATTTTAGGTTAAATGCTTGGTCTTTGGTTAATGTAGTGTTTGGTTTTGCAAGAAGCGCTTATGGTTAAGTCACCAGGGAATGTAAGTCATTGCAATGTCCTCCTAAGTGACAAAAAGCAAATGTGCGCGCGTGTGTGTGTGCGTGTCTGTTTAGAGAGGACAGCATAATGGAATGCCTCGGCGGTTCAGGACTTGCCAAGAGCACTTTTCCCATACGCAAGGGAGCCAAGACTTCCCCAACCATCCAAGAATAGCACAGACTTTCTCACTCTCTCTCTCTTTTACTCTCTTTCTCACCCACACACACACAGACACTCACACATTTTACTCTCTGGATTCAACAAGAAAGAGGGTGATAGTGTGAAGGATGAAAGTACAGGCTCACGATTCAGTCAGCACAGTTAAAGAGACAGTATGAGAAAAAAAGACAGAGGGACATTTTTAGAATTGTTAAAGTTATGTAACCAGCAATCTTGGGCAATATTGTAAAGATGGCAAAGAAATCAAATCCACAATCAAAACATGGTTATGATCCCATTTTAAAGATAATAATGCTTCAATGAAATAAACTAGAATGAAGTGACGCAGATCGTCTAAGGAAGAAAATATAAAAAGCAAGTGAAAGAGGAAGATAAAAAAGGAAGGAGAGAGACAGACATCTCTGAAATGACACTGAAGCACTATGCTCTTTTGGGGGTAAATGAAAACAGCGCTCAATGTTCTCACACTGTATGCCAATGCTTTGTTTTTACAGTGTTATCTGATTGGACAAACCATTAATATATAGTCCAATCAGAGGGTCGGTCATTCTGTTGCCCTAGGTCCTGAAAGGTGTAGTAGAAAATCAAGATGGATGGTGCAGTTTCCTCTGCAACCCAGGTTTGTTTGCATATATTTCTGGCGCATTCAAAATGTATCACTATTTTTCAACAGCATCATGAAACATAATTAAACCTACGTGGGTCGTGGAAGAGCTTGAGCCGTCAGTCATTTGGAAAATCTATACCTCTTAGGATCTGCAGAAATGAAGGTAACAGAAGCACTTGTCCTCTGACAAGCAGTGTTTAAATGATCTTTTCCTCAAACATCTGCATGTCAAAACTTTGTAGCATCTCTCCTGGCAATGAAATGAACCTTAATGATCCTTAATATCTGCGAATAAATTGGTTTAATCATGTGCAAAATCTAAATCTGAAAACCACAACACTGTTATCTGGATCAGATCATTCATGCAAGGAAATTATTAACCAATATTAATTTTTGCCAGTAATTAGCTACAGCTGAGGTTGTTGCTGAGGACAGTGGGGGCTGCCCAGCGACACATTTTAATGTCCACACTGTTGATGCCTGTGCAGTACAATAATGAAATGGTTTTAACTACTCTGTGATATATACTGTATTATTATCTAAGAGCTAAAACAAATCAGTGCTGCCTTGAGACTTAATCTGCCAATTAGCATCCTGACACTCAATTTCAAATATTAATCTTCCACTCTGACTGCAGCCTCATGAAGTGGCAGTAAGTGTTTATAATAAGAGTTACACATCTGTTGTTTATTGTTCATGCAATAAGGAATCCCTGCGCGTGAGAGGCAACTGGAAAATAAAGCTCATCTCCAAACATGCAAGAAAACGTGGGGGAGAGAACTTGAGAAACTTTGCTAAGATGTCTGCTCACATTGATTTTTCATGACTCACTGGAAAAATGACTTGTAGTGAGAAGAGAGACGATCCATCAGCTCCAAAGATGCTATTCTGCAGTTGACCCTGCGGTTGTAATTTGTAATGGTGGGGGAGAAGGTGAAAAGACAAATTCTCCACTGGGGATCAATACTGCTACAAGGGAGACTGCATGTGCTCCGAGTAACTAAAAAAACTAGAATAACTACCCTGCGGCTATGTCCCTTCACCTACCAGTGCAGTTTCAGACTACATACATTGTTAACCAGACTCATGGAAGTCACAATGACATTTACCCCTTGACCACTGACATCAGTTAATCTTTGAGTCCACGGGACAGCTTGTCTAAATTTGAATAAATTCCCTAAAGACAGAGGTCACTGTAATCTAGACCTTAAATCTTTGACCATCTAAATCTAATCAGTAAATCCGTAAATCTATGTGAAAATATTTGCAAAATTTTAAAGGATTAGCTTGTGCCGGTCTTGAGATAATGTGTTCACAAGGTCATTGACATTGATCTTGGGTCACCGATATCTAATCAGCTCAGCTTTTAGTAGAAGTGAAGGTTTGTACCAAATTTGCAAAAATTACCTTGAGGTGTTCTTGAGATATTGCATTAAAAAGAATGAGATGTCACTGGAGGCTTCCATTCTCACAGTGAAACATCCTTCACAAACTGGTTCTAAAGTTGTAATACATATTATATAGTCCGTATCACTGCTCCAGCAGAGAGCTCAGATGCAGCCTAATGAGTAAACATACTGCCGGTAGCCAGAATAGCTTTCCTGTACACTAAACATGCCCCTTGTCCAATCACAACATGGACAGGAAGCAAACTTTACTGACTTCACTTCCGAACTGAATCATGACTCCTTATCTCATAATCATCTAACATCAGCTCTATATTGTATAAGAGGGAGTAAGCCACTTGTTTGAACCGAGCCATAAACCCGTGATGTGCTTTGGTTCACAGCAACAGAAAGGCACAACCTTGGTTCCTTCAGTGCGTGCTGTGCATGTGATGAGCTGCCACTTCACTCACATTAATATCAAATGGACTTTACATGCATCTGTGCTGTGACCACGGCGACAGGTTTATCAGCAAAACAAGACTCAAGGGCTTGAATAAAACACGGGGCTGGAAAGTCCTTGATGTCAGAACAAATGACATCAAATTAAACATGACAGTCATAACTAACAGCTTTTAGCTTGGAATAGCAACATGGTAGAAGTGAACCGCTGTATTATAGCTGATCTAGCATGACATCATTTCAGTGCATACCGGATATAGATCTCCATTTATTCGTAAAACCAGCTAACACAGCAAAAATCTTTTATAGACTGAATACACTGATATAGATGCAGTAGTTAACAGTAAGAGCAGGAATACTCTCACCTCATTCAACACAACTCCTCCAGACCCCCCTGGTTTTCAGCAGGTTGTACAGCCCATTTAGAAGGTTCCAGACTATCCCAGAATGCAATGTGTTGACTCAGGAGTCCCTGGTGGATAAAAACAACAGAAGTTGAAATGAAACTATGGTGAAAAAGGGGATTTTTTAAATCTTGCATTCGCTCCAAATCACGCCATAGGCACAATATGGCAGGATATGTTGTTGTGCACTGTGCTGTGAGCATAAGCAGGAAGTGCACACAGCAGAAGGGATTTGGACACACAACTGAGGATGCGTCACAGGTTTCAACACAAAGCAACGCATCACCCCAGCTTTAATCAACAAGCACAAACTACAACATGCGATTCTCACATCATGTTTCAAACAGAGTTGTGGCAGCAAACTGCTAATAACCCCCCCCCCCTCAAAAAAGCTTTCAGTGATGCTACTGATGCACCTGATGATCATCTGAGTAAGTGAGATATATTATAAAGAGATGCCTGAAGCTTTTTACATAAATAAAAAACACAAAGATGTATAAGGAAAGTCTGGAGAAAAATATCTTCACAGACAGTTAAGTGAAGCATTTGTTATGAAGTAAATTTTGGTGAAAGGGTGGGATACAGGCCAAGGAAGAACATATTTGAGGTGACTGGACCAAAAGATATTCACATGCAGGAATCAGACGAAACTCAAAGTTAAAACTGAACTGCAGGCAGAGGTCATGTCATATTTACTGTGTATATAAAAAAGAAAAACTTTGCTGTATCTTTAAAAACATAGAATGTGCAACAAACTGATGTATGCAGACACCCACACCCCGCCATGAGAGATGAACCGACTGATCGTCGACAGAGTGCTCACGCTCTGAGGGACTAATTAGGCGGGTTGTGGTGGAGTGATGGGGATGTTACGAGGATACAAGAGACACGTTCCCTGCTGATAGTCAGCTGCAGCTGGCGTGTTTGCATGTGTGTCTGTGGAGGTGTGTGGGATGTCAAACATACTGACCCACATCTTACATGCCTGAACAAGAAAAGAGGCAGGGATGTGTGTGATTGTAGCTGGCAATCTGCAAAAGTGTTTCGTTGCAGCTTATAGAAGACAGAGAAGGGAATTACATTATGTGGCCGGTTGTTTTGTGCCACATTAGTAACAGTAAAATCATTTCAAGCATACTTCTTATGTTCTGCACGGCAACGCTAGTCTTCTGGGGATTAAGTGCTACACTGAAAATGAAATACTATAATGGATGGGCAAGGGAATGAGACAGAGAGAGAACGTCGAGTATTTCAGGTGCGGGAAAATCAATAGGTCTTAATGGTGGGATACACTATAGAGTCAGGCTAGGCATGTACTGTATGTAGATACATAAATGTAACAGCACATGATAAGCTGTAAGGTTTGTTTGTAAAGTATATGTAAGAGAGATGGAGGAGGAGGAAAGTCAAGTCTACTGGAGGCTTGGATTACCAGACACCAACTGGCAAAAGAATATATCATATGTCATAAATGAAATGAAAAACATTGAAAAATAGCATTTTAATACAAGTTAAAAGAGGAGAGAAAAAGTGAAGAGAGGGGATCCAGAGGCGACAAAAAATGGAGACAGATGGAGAAAATAGAGAAGACAGAGAAGAAGAGAGAGAGAAACAGATGGTGGTGGAGAAGAGACAGATAGAAACTCAATGGGAGCACAACACTGGCTCAGCCAGCGAGGCACAGCGGGGAGTATGGCAAACCGAAAAATGTCAGAGGAAAGGGAGGAGGACGAGGAAGATGGTGAGAGGGAGAACAGAGAGAGAGGAGGATTCATTCCAAAATTCTCTAAAAACCCTGTTCAGTTAAAACATACTGACCTTAGACTGAAGATTTACAAACAATGATAAGTGTTGTTTTAAAAACATATTTTAAGGGGTTTTAAAAAGTTAACTTGGATTGTTCAGTTCTTACGTTCCTCTAAAGACTCATCCATCTGGAGTTACTAATTGATTTCAAATACAACAAATTGCACACTCAAAGGTAATATCATGTTGCCGAACTACCCATCGAAATGTTCAAGAAAAAGTTTCAGTATCGGTTTAGACAGCAGTGAACCGGTGAGAATATTATGAGACCGATTACTCTCAGACACCCACATGCTGTAACAGTCATAAAAGTGAATGTTCAGCTCAGGCAAAGTCAAGAAGCCCTTAACACTCCAAAATGAAATTGGCACTTGGAAGTAAAGAAGCATCTTGTAAAATGTCTTAATTGTTAGTTTGGCAGACATTTTACAATATAATGAAAAGTCAGACAAAATCAATCAAACTTAATGTCATACAGCCACAAAATGTCCATCAGTCTCACAGTAATACTTGTTCTGTGAAGCAATTTGTTTATGAAGATGATGCAATAAATCTGATGTGACTCTGATGTGACAGTGTGTAATATTTAAGTGAAAGGGATTTATTACTGAATAATCCAAGTGATGTTTTCACTGCTGTGTAATTGTCTAAATTGTAGAAATTTTTGTTTTCTTTATCCAAGAATGGCTCCTTTATATTTAAATACTTCATAATTACATGGGGAGTGGGTCCTCTCTACAGAGGCCGTCATGTTTTGTACAGTCGTCCAAACACCCTCTGAGTTTTTATGACAACTGAAGGCTACAACATGTTCTCCTTCATGTTTGGGAGGCGAGGGTGAGGTGAGTGGTGTTCAGCAGCAACATTCAACTTCACCACTAGATGTCACTATATATAATCACACCGAACCTTTAAATGCTCATAAATGCAGTATACTGTATCTTTAGCCTGAATACAACCTTCTCCCCCACAACACACACACACACACACACACACAC